GGACCTGGGGGACTAAAGAACACGTGCCGGCGGTTACTGGAGCTCCTCATTCAAGTCCTGGCTCAGGCTGCGCTCCCGTCACATCCCATCCACTAAGCCCAGCCAGGCTACTGCTTAGTTCTTCCTTGAAGGGGAAAGCTGTCAGAGACACCTCTGCAGGAGCTGGTGAGGAAACTGGACAGAGATGTGTTCTTTGCAATCAAGAAATGCCAGGACCTAGGAATCAGCCTGGAGAAAGTAATTCCGGGGAAGCCGCAGACATTGCAAGTCCCATCACAGCTCCCACAGGAATGGAGGTGGAAAATCTCACGCCCGGAAGGAGCTGGGGAACTGATGCAGGACACTCTCTTTGGCCAAAAGGCTTCCTTTCTTTTCAGGCTACCAGGGGATTGGATTACAGGCTTTGCTTTAAGCAAATACAAATGTGCTTGTCCCTTAGGAGCATTTACCTGGCAGCCATCACCTACTCAGTTTATCTTTCAGTCGTCAACTCCCATTCCCCGTTTCTCCGCTGGTATCAACCTGCCCCTTGCTAGATACCATCTCCGTTTCATCTTTAGGTTCCCAAACAGGGAAGCTCTCAGGAATGGGCTGTCCCTTACCATCACGACCAGAGTGGAGAAGATACTCTCCCAGGTCACGGCCGAACACCCTCTCCTTCTCCACCTCCCGCTCCTTCCGTTGCTTTGGGCGGGCCTTCACCACGGAACGAAGGAAGGTGAGGAGCTTGCCGCGCTTCTTTGGCACTGCACAACAAAAGGAAGAAACCAATTCATCTCAGGTTTGGCTCTGTTGGACAAGGCCGAGCACAACACATTCTACAGAGCACCTCAAAACGGGAAGAACATGATGAGCAAGTACGTACCAAAATGGATTTTCCCCAACCCTGGAAGAGTCCAAGGCCAGACTGGATGGGGCCCTGGGCAGCCTGGTCCAGTCCCACATTAAATGTGGAGCTTGGTTGGCAGCCCAGCTTGAGGCAGGGGGCGTGGAGCTTGATGATCCTTGAGCTCCCTTCCATCCCAAGCCATTCTACAAGGATTCTAGGATTTCCCCAACTCCAGTCATAAACACAGGAGGACTGGGCCAAATCTCTGCACGTTCTGATGGAGTTTAATGCACTCCTCTTGCTTAGCTTGCTCAACCTGGGCATTAAGGACCCTCTTGAAAAGCCACGTTCTGATCAAGCGTGTCACTAGCACAACCAGACCTCTATTTGTCCACCAGGGACACTGGCTGTTCTCAGCCACGTACTGACTTGCAGGAGAACTGCCTTTGCCTTCCCTCATTCTCACTGCCTTCAAACACCAGCCATACACCCCGTGGAACGCCTGAAGGATCATCAGCACAGAGGATAAGGTGGGATGGATAAGGGAGGTATTAAGCACGGAACACACCCAAAAAAGACTCCATTTTGCTTCCCTGCACCACCAAATGTATCATCCGTACCTGGCTTTGGCACTGAATTGATGAGAGACTCTGGGATTTTTCCATTAATGAGCTCCACACACTCACCAGGGAAAAATCCAACCTGTAACAAGAAGAAGAAGAAGAAGAGAGGTGCGATACTGAAGGCAGCATTTCTCAGGCCTGAACTGTTCAAACATCACATTTTCCTCATAACGTGCCTGCCGGATGCTCCGTAAGACAATCCAACAAAAAAATGGCCTGCTTAAAATTAATAATTATTCAAAATTTGCAGGCAAATATCCACAAAACTGTGTATGGAGCAGGGAAAGGACAAGTATGCTATGCACCCCTAAATCTCAAGCGTGCCCGAAGGGAAAGACTTCATACACAAGCTATATATTATGATAGATTGATGCAGCTAGATCTGAGTTAGCACAGCCTATGAACTTTCTGCTTGCTGACTGAGATGCAGCTGCCATCCCCAGCTCTGAGCTACCCAGCGTTCTGCAGCCAGCAGCAGCAGCAAGCACGCAGAGGCTCTGTTACCCTGCCTCATCTCAGCTGACAGGCAGCGACTTCCTAAAAGACACTGACTTCACCTTCTGCATGGGTGCAAGCACAAGAGCTCAGAGACACTGAAACACGTGTCCTAGCTGCTGCATTTCCAAAGGTGCGGTTCAGTGGCCGTGACCTGATGCATGTTGTGAGGGCTCTTCTTTCTAAGTTTCCTACAAAGACCAACTTTCAGCTCTGGCCTAAGCCCACAGCAAAAGGGAAAGTCCTCTGACACCAGCACAAGGAAACCATTTTCCATGTGGAGCCATGCTGTGCAGGCAGGGCAGCTCTAAGCTGAGATTCCTGCCTCGACCGAAGTTGCGCTCTCACATCTGAAGCTTGTGCCTACCTGAAAGCCGTGCTTGCCTCTCCAGCGGGGGCTCAGCTCCTGAGGCGGCATATCGATGACGCACACGAGGTCTCCCACCTGCAAGAGATTGTAACGTCAGTCCCAGCTTCAGCACGGCTGGGAGGAAAGCGCAGCTCAAATGACTGCATTCTTCTGCACTACAAAACAACGTCAAGCTAGAGAGCCATTGCACCAGTGCAGCTCTTAAGGCATTTGCAGTCGTACAACCGAACGTGGAGGTAGCAGAGTCACTACAATACACAACATACAGAATTCAGCTGTTCAGTATGA